ACCTTCCTTCCGAGGAGTGGCTGGTGGGTTTGAACCGCCATCCTTCTGGTGAGCAGTCAAGTGCCTTAGGCACTATGCTACCAGAGCTCCCCAGGATATGGTATATTAAAAAATTAATTTTCATATGTAAGTGTGAGAAATGATGATGTGTTTCATAGTAATGCTACCATTAAGTCTTGGGGTTTTAAGTTAGCGTTGTAGATTTATGAAAATGAATGATACAGCCTCATTGTATTTTTTCTATAAGTTAAAGCACTTTAAAGTTGATCTAGTATAATTTCTGTATTTTGCTTCCATATTAACGTCCCTTCCTTTTAAAAAGGAGTTTTAAGGAGATAGCTGCAATTTTTTAAGCGCCAAATAAGAATTGAGAGTGTGTGGATATTACTATAAAGGCATGGTCTTTAAAAGAATAGTTCCTGTAGACTTTGAATGCAGGCATGATGCCATGGAGTGGAATCCGACCCTCTCCTTGGGTTTCCAAGACAGTATCTCTACAGAAGTAGATTGCCCAACCTTCCTTCCAAGGAGTGGCTGGTGGGTTTGAAGCACCAGCCTTCTGGTTAGCAATCAGGTGCCTTAGGCACTCCGTCACATTTGTTTTGTTGTTGTTATGTACCATCAAGTTGGACCCGACTCATAGCAACCCCTCCTTGGGTTGCCGAGGTGGTATCAATACAGAAGTTGATTGCCCAACCTTCCTTCCGAGGAATGGCTGGTGGGTTTGAACTGTCAGCCTTCTGGTTAGCAGTCAAGTGCCTTAGACACTATGCTACCAGAGGTGTTTTCAATTACATAGTTAACACTACTTAAAAAGTGCTTTTTATAGGCAGTGTAATCTCTTCCATTAAACTCCTCTTGGTTGTGTTACTGTTAAAGACCAACCACCTGAGGGTAACTAATGATTCAGGAAAGTGGTCAGAGGATGGAGGTCTTAGTCTTTGGATGAGTCATGTAATAACTTTGAGCCTTACTTTTCCTGTTTTTAAACTGAGGATGAAAGTGTTTAATCTCATGGAATGGTTATGAAACTATATTTAAAAGCAATGGTAAAATGCAGGAAAATGTAAGCTTTACTAAGGTTTGCAGCTGTATTTCAAAGAATTGTAAAATCTCAATTCTTTTTCTCTTGCAGATCTGCTGTTTCTTTTGGGTCTCACCTCATCAGTGTGCATAGTGGCAGAAATTATCAAGAAGGTAGAAAGGAGCAGAGAAAAGATCCAGAAGCATGTTAGTTCAACACCATCATCTTTTCTTGAAGTATGATGCATATTGCATTCTTTTATTTGCAAACTGGGAATTGAAGCCTGAGAAGCACTTGGAAGGGCAAGTTCAAGAGGATAAATGAAGATTTGAGAACTTTTAAACTTTTCATTGACTAAAAAAATGAGCATTAATGTTCAAGACTTGATTTGAGACTTTAACCTGCTGGCAGACCTAAATGAAATTATGCAACTTTAATAACATAACTCTTCATTTAAATTGGCTTTTGCGGTATGAGTGGAAGCATATGGGCAGTTATTTAATTAAAAAAAAAAAAAAAAAAAAAGGCGAAGCCTGAATCACCTTCTGCACTTAAAGAGGTCTACAGTACAAATACACTGTCTATCTTAGATAGATATAATTTTTTTTTTTTTTTTAAATATTGTACTATTTATGGTGGTGGGGCTTTCTTACTAATAAAAATAAATTTTATCATTTTAAAGGCATTCTCTTTGGTTTAGCTGTTGAGTCCAGGAGTGCCATGTTTCAGCTACTGTATTTTCTTTTTCCTGCAATGTAAGCAGCTCCGAAATTTTGTGTACCATTTTTGTATCTCAAGTTTTTTGCACAGGATGTGACCACTGTCAAATCACTGTTCTTTTCTTTCTTTTTGTGATTGAAAAGCCTATACTGCAATTTGAAGTAAATGTTTGCTTTTCTTAGTAAATGTAAATGGTTGCTTTTCTTTTTTAGGTATGAGTCCTTAATGTAGCAAAATTAATACAGGGCTATCAGGTGGCATTCTAGTTTAGGTATCAGTGTCTGTAATTAACACTTAGTCATAGAGTCAGAAACATTTAAGAATGATTGGGCTGAAATTTATAACAAAGTATATTAATGTGTCATGCCTCCTTTTGAGTTAAATATAAATACATACTTTGTCAAACATCATTTTGTTATCCCCTAAATATAAATCCAGTACCTCAGCTGAATAATTGATTTTCATTATTTTTAGTGTTTTGTGTGTGTTTTTAAGCATGTTTTTCAGGGAATATATAGGTTGCTACATTTAAAGAATAAAAATGCCTGAACACAGACAATTCATGAACCAGAATATAAGTGGAAGATTGTGTGCTTGACCTTGTGCTTCATGAACCTGCATGTTCTTTGGCCTGTATTGCAGCTGGCCACGGCACAGCCCTGAGTCCATCCCTTCTCCTTCTATCATTTATCCTCTGCCGCCTTTGTGCTCCACTGGGCATGCTAAACAAGTAGATAGATTTGCTCTGTGTAATGCCAAGAGTCTTTGTAACAACTTGATGAGATGTAGGTAGCTTGTTCCAAGTGTATGGAATATTTGGGCCAGAACTTCAAAATTAGAAATCAATGATCCTGTTTAGTATTTCTCACTGTAAACAGAAATGGGTTTTAAATTCTTACAGATTTAATTATTCTTTACATTAGTAAGTTTTATATCATGATAAAATTCCACATTTTAAAAACTGTCAGGATAAGCCACTCTTAATTTTTATCACCAATATTAAACTGCACGTTAGCACTGAAATTACTGTCCTCAGTGATAGGGAAAAAGGTCTGTTCTTTGAGTCCTGCAACAGTTTAGTACCTGAGGTGTCTGCAGTTTATTCTACTTTACCCTTTAAGGCTGAATAGTCAATTGTACATTGTTCGGTTTCATTACTTCACATGGAGGCTATGTTGTAATCAACTTTATTGATAGTGATTGGATATCTCATGCCTAAATTTTGTAATGAGTTTTCTTCTCTGTTACAAAGACTTGAAGTACATGTTCCTTGCATGTCAATCTCTTGCCTTGAATTTTAGGCTCAGAGTATGGTAGTATAAAATACATGTGTTTGTCCTTCCATTTGGTTTTTGAACCACAAAAAATGAGATCTTTTAAGTTAATGACTTCCTGTGGGACTGTCAGCATTAATAATTATCCATAGGGATGTTGAAGATAAAGAAATTAGGGAATGTTCATAGTATATAGAATTTGTGTTTTAAAAAGAAGCTCAATGTACACTATAAATCAACAACATCCAGACTTTGATTTTCCATTGTATATTCATCTAAATTAGCATGGCTCATTTAAATGTGCTAATACATAAATTTAAAATTTTCATTCGATTTTCTGGCCCAAGCCTTGCTACCTGTTGCACTTGAATTGATTTTGACTGATGGTGACCATCCCACATGTTCCAAGAGTAAAACTGATAGAGTCTTCAGTGGCTATCAGATGGAGTCCTTGGGTGGCACAAATCGTTAAGGGCCTGACTGCGAGCCAAGAGGTTGACGGTTCAAACCCACCCAGAGGTGCCCCAGAAGACAAGCCTGGTGGTCTGCTTCTGAAAAGTCACAGCCTTGAAAACCCTGTGGAGCAGTTGTAGCCTGCATACATGAGGTAGCTTGAGTAGAAATCGACTTGATAGCAACTAGCAACAATAACAACAACAAATACTATGCAAGTAGATCACTGGGCCTTTTTCTTCAGTAGTGCCACTGAGTGGATTCAGATCACCAACCTTTTGCTTCGTAGTCAAATGCAAACCATTTGTGCCACCCAATCTTCAGGGCTTGCTAGATTCCTTAATAATATGAACTTACTTGATTTTTCCCTGTTATACTAGCCAGTGAAGTTAATTCGCCCCAAAGTCACTAAAATGTGAATATCTTCAGGAAGAAAACGAGGAACTTTAAGGTAACTTAGAAGATGAAACAAGTGCCAAACCAGACAACTTCATGATTCTGCCCTTCAGGAGAAGGGCTCTGTTTCACAGCAGTGGCCTGCAGCTCATCTACATCAGGCATGCTCTGCACCTTTCACGCCCACACAGGGTGGTCTTTGTGCAAACACTGAGTTTTGATCTTTTTAATATGTTACTTAAGTAAATGAGTATTAGCAATACTTAAAATAGGTTCTCACTGAAACGAATTGGTGGTAAACAATATCTTGTCTTGGGACCTCTGTCATTTGGCAATTCATATGCAGCTTATTACCACATACAGCTTAACATAAGAATTTAGATGGATGAATTGTTTGTCTTCCCAGTAAACATTTAGTGAACACTTGGAATGTGATTAGAAGTATAGAAGGATGACAGCACCCCTGTCCTTCAGGAGCCCTTGGACAGGGGTAGTAATGGATGCAACTGTTGGCAAGTTGTTTCTCAAAAGAGCTGGTGTTGATCTTGGCACATTTATTTTAAAATACACACATTAAAATATGTCCAACATTCATTTAATTAGAAGTTTCCCTTGACATTGGCATTTGAAAAATCTTTTCAATTTTTTTTTTTTTTAAAAAAAAGGTCAAGCTCTTGCAATCTGAACAGTAGTTGATATGCATACGTGGTACAGATAAATATTAATCTCAGTTGATACTAACTGGACAAAAAAATCACCCTAATAATTAAGCATCCTTGAGCTTAGTTAACTGTTAATGACTATTGACTCACTTAAAAACTTTTTTGGGTTTTGCTTGCCAGAGTTGGTTATTGCTGATAGTGTAATATCTCTGTCATGCGCTGTGCCAATTCAGCATTTTATGGGAATACAACTTATTGACAGTGATTATCATAATCAAATAATACCCTATTCAGTGTGATTTTAAGTCCAGCTGACATGTTAACTGTCCTGTTGAGTGAAACCTTTCCACATAGCTCTAAAGGGGTGTGTGTGTGTGTGTGTAGTACAATTGCTTATAAACACTATTAAGAGTAAATGTAGCCTTCAGTTTGGGCATAAAATCATAGGCTTTAATTTTAGAAAGTGTGCAAAATTTAAGTCCAAGCCACTTTGTTGCTAAGTCTAGACAGAAATTTGATAGAATCTTCTCTTTGCATTTAGAATAAACTTAAGTGTTGATGTTTGGGGAGCAGAGTAAAAACTCTACTCATTTGTTTTGATCCTTAGAAATTCTTTTTGAAAAAAAAAAAAATCAAACTCACTGCCATCAAGTTGATTTGACTCAGTGAGCCCTCCTTGGGTTTCTGAGGCAGTATCTCTGTGCAAGTACCTTGCCCAATCTTCCTTCCGAGGAGTGATTGGTGGGTTTGAACTACCAGCCTTCTGGTTAGCAGTCAAATGCCTTAGGCACTATGCTACCAGAGCTCCATTCTTTTTGAAACAACTTGAAAAAAGAAAAATTATTTTTGACTAAATGGCATTCCTGTGCACACAATGAATGCACATGCTATGGGACTAAGGACCTATGTTCAGCGTAGACAATGTTTCATATGCAGGTTGCATTGCACATCTGACTTCCTGTTCTTATCCTGTTTTGCTTAGTACAAACCAGATTGACAAATATCTTGGCAAAGGCCCAGCTTTGTGTGGTGCCTCTGTAGCTGTTAGACTTGTCAGAACTGCCCTTCAGGTCAATCCCCCAGCTTTTCCCATCACTGTTATTTCTTTAGCAGTATCTGCATTGCTCTGTTTAGTAATACTTTGAGCAGAAACCACATCTCACTGAGAAGTCACTGATGGAAATTGGGCAAATTATTTTACGAGTTTCAGAAGTCCATTTTGGTGCTCTGTGTTTCTAGCTCTTAAATTCAAACAAAATGTGTTTTTTTAATGCAGTATTAAATACTAATCCACGCAACCACATTAAAAGCAGTTTTCTAATACTACCTTCTCTATGATAGATAGTGTTGAATAACCTCTAAGTTGAGAAATAGGGAGCTCTGCTGGCATAGTGCCTAAGGCATTTGACTGCTACACAGAAGGCTGGCGGTTCAAACCCACCAGTCACTTCTCAGAAGGAAGGTTGGGCAATCTACTTCAGTAGAGATAACGCAGAAATCCAAGGAGGAGTCTCTTTGAGTTGGCAGGGAGTTTAAGTTGAGAAATGGCCATTTGGTGCCATCTTGTGGTCTTAGAGAAAATAACTATGTAATGCCTCGACCAAGTACCAGTTTTCACCAAGTCTGCATTTCAAAAGCATATTATGAAGTGACTTGGTATGTGAGTTTTAAAAACATTATTCTTGGAGCTGAACGAACGGATGATTTTGTAGAAAATGTGTGCAGACAGGAAAGGTATGTCAGACTATAGTAGTAGTAGATCAACATTGCAGCATTATAAATGAGTAATTTTTCATTTACATTCCTCTCTCACATTCATCCATGATTTCATAGCATGAGTACATTAGATTTTATAAGTATCTTTGTATATGCATCTAGTACAGATGGCCCATGAATTAGCTAGAGGAGTGACAGCTTATTGAAACGGTTTATTTTAATCCACCCTACCTAACCTACATAGGACTACTGATTTAGTTTTGGGGTTGTCAAACTACATCTCTTGGGTTAAACTAGCGTACTGCCTGTTTTTGTAAATAAAACTTCATTGGCATAGAGCCAAACACATTAACTTACATATTGTCTGTCACCACTTTGATGCTACAGCACTAGAGATGAGTAGTTGTGATCGATTGTATGGTCCACAAATCCTAAAATAATGACTCTCTGGCCTTTACATATAAAGTTTTTTGACCCCCTCCCCTCATTTAGATATTTGAAAAGAAAGGAAACTAGTCCTGTGCATTACATTCAGTGGACCAAAAAGGATGTAGCATCAGTTTTCTTTACCCTTCAGCATCCCGACAAGTGCTTCCTCTGGGATGAAAACACTTGGTAGCAGATTGGATGTCAGGCTCCACCAAGACTCTTGTGTGGAGAAGGAGTCTCAGGCTGTTCTCAGATCATCATTAACAAGGAAGATACCTGTCTCTGGTTGGTCCCACCTCATCACTTAGCCCCCTTATTCTTACAGTGGATGGAGAGTTCTGACTTGCTGTCCCATGTGAGGTGTGCCCGCTCTCAAATGTGCACATACACACACACACTATTTCTCTGCTCACTCAAGCTTTTATCCATAAGAAGCAGAATCTGCTCCTCATTGGTGTCTCTGCTCCTGTCCACCCCTTTGGGTGCAGAAGAAAAAGTAGGGCCTTCCTTCTCATTTGGTGTTTCCTCTAATACACACAAACATTTGACTTGAATAGACCGTATTATCTTGCTTAGGGAGGACAATGTTAATAGTGGAAACCACAATATCTGACAGCCCAGTCTGAGGGTAAATACACTTTTTGACTGATTTTCTCAGAACAGAACATTCTAAACCAAAACATACTGCATATTTCTTGTATTTCTAAAAAGTTACCATGGCACTATTTCTTAGTTCTTTTTATAGGCCACCCTAGTTTTCTGCAGCTTACTGCTTTACAACATAGATGATAGTTACCATAGTAGGGTCAATTTCTTAATAGTTCGTCTTAAAGAACTTGCCTAGGAACTAGAAAGGCTATGGTGCTCTGTGATTAGAAACTTGAGCTTTTAATGTCACCAGTCCCAGATTTCAACACTGAAGGCTGCACACTCCCCCATACCCCCACCCCCATTTACCTGTCTTATTTTTGATAGTTTCTTGGGGCAAGGCAGGGTAATGTTGCAACCTTGCTTTATTGATACCATCTTTCCAGAGGCTTCAAATGTTAAACATTTCTCTGATTAAATTACATCATGCTCATTGGAGACATTTTGTAAATAGAGAAAACATTTCATGATCTCGGCACCCAGAGATCATAAATATCAAGGTTTTAATGTAATCTTTATCCTTGACTTTTCCTTAAGCTCCAGATACATACCCAGCTGCATATCCACAACAGAACTACTGATTTGCCCACTTCCCAGCTACACACCATCCTATACAAATGAATGACGAATAGGAAATTTGAAAAGGGAGAGTTCCTGCCAGTGTTCTAATAAAGGCATAAAAGTGATACATTACTGTAGCATAACAGTTCTCATTGGTACATTTACAAGCCCCATTTTCAGAATAATGTTAGTATCTGTTTAACCACAAATTGTTTCCATATTTGTCAGAGTAAGCTTACCTACTGACATTAGTGAATCCATATAATCCTTATACATCTTCAAACATAAAGTGAATCA